ACAAACACAAACCAACAACAACAAAACAAAACCTTTGATCAGAAACCAGACAGCGGGTTTTCTCTCCCGGTGGGAAGCTGACACCAGTATGCTATTTCGAGTACCAACATTGCAGCCCAAGTTTGTGCAATAAGACTCTTTTCCTGCAATCCAAGGACGTGCTTCCCGGTGACAAAAGGCGATTGGGTCCACATGGCGATCTTTTTTATTATTTTTTAAAGCATCTAGTAAAAAAAAGTATTGTCTTGTTTATTTGGTCTTACTTTTTTATTTTTTTATTTTCTATTTTGTTTTTTATTTATCTTTTTTTTTCTTTTTTTTGGGGGGGGTAAACAAAATGTCTTGTCTATATGATCTTCCTTTTTTATTATTTTATTTATCTATTTTATTTTCATTTTTTGGGGGGGGGGGGTAAAAATGTTTTGTTTATATGATAATACTTTTTTATCTCTTTTTCTTTTTCTTTTTTTTTTTTTGGGGGGGGGGGGGGGTGGGTAAAAAATATCTTGTTTATATGATCTTACTTTTTTATTTATTTATTTATTTTTTATTTCTTATTTTTTTTGTTTATTTGATTTTATTTTTTTTTGGGGGGGGGCGGAGGGATGTTGACTTTCTAATGTTGGTTTATATTCCTTTTGTTACTTATTTATATTTGTGGTAGGATTAAATAATAAGTAATTATTTACTTCCATCCCCCTCCCACCTCCCCCCTCCCCCCATCTTTGCGAATAGAGAAAATCTAAACATCGAAACTCTATTTGATTTTAATTCACAAAAGCTCCACTCTAAGATAGTAAAAATAAGAAGTGTAAATAAGAAACGAAATAAGATGGAATATCGCTTTTCCCATTTCCTATATTCACGCTTCGGGAAGGGAAGGGGAAAGTGACGAAATAGCATTGACCTCAAACTTCCATGAGGCAAAAAAAAAAAAAAAAAAAAAAAAAAAAAAAAAAAAAAAAAAAAAATCACGTGGAATTAGCCCCCCCCCAAAAAAAAAAAAAAAAAAAAAAATAGGATTCTTTTTTTTCTTTTCTGAAATAGGTATTCCGTTCATTTCTGTTAAGAAAATAATACCAATATTAGGCACTGCCTTTCCCTTTCCTTCCCCTACACAACTCTCCATACCCACTTCCCCCTCTACCCCCACCCTCCAACGCAGATAGCATCTTCCTCCCTCCTCCCTCCCTCCACCACTCCTCCCAAATCCCTCCCACCACCCTCCCTCCTTCCTCACCTCCCTCCTCCCTCCACCACGTCCACCCAACTCCCTCCCTCCCTCCCTCCCTCCTTCCATCCTCACCTCCCTCCCTCCCTCCCTCCACCACGGCCACCCAATTCCCCCCCTCCTCCCTCCCTCTCACCTCCCTCCCTCCCCAACCCCCTCCCACGTCCCCCCCACCCTCCTCCCTCCCTCCTCCCTCGCCCCTCAAGTATTGCGACCAGGGAAATTCAACGTTAATTCCCCCGTGGCACTGAGGGGAATGGCACTGAGGGGAGTGGCACTGATGGAGGTGGCACTGAGGGGGGTGGCACTGAGGGGAGTGGCACTGAGGGGAGTGGCACTGATGGGCGTGGCACTGAGGGGAGTGGCACTGATGGGGGTGGCACTGAGGGGAGTGGCACTGATGGGAGGTGGCACTGAGGGGAGTGGCACTGATGGGGGTGGCACTGATGGGGGTGGCACTGAGGGGAGTGGCACTGAGGGGACTGTGGCACTGATGGGGGTGCACTGAGGGGAGTGGCACTGATGGGCACTGAGGGAGTGGCACTGATGGGGGTGGCACTGAGGGGAGTGGCACTGATGGGGGTGGCACTGAGGGGAGTGCACTGCACTGTGGCACTGAGGGAGTGGCACTGATGGGGGTGGCACTGAGGGGAGTGGCACTTATGGGGTGGCACTGAGGGAGTGGCACTGAGGGGAGTGGCACTGATGGGAGTGGCACTGATGGGGGTGGCACTGAGGGGAGTGGCACTGATGGGGGTGGCACTGAGGGGAGTGGCACTGAGGGGAATGGCCCTGAGGGAGTGGCACTGATGGGGGTGGCACTGAGGGGAATGGCACAGATGAGGGTGGCACTGGCACTGATGGGGGTGGCACTGAGGGGAATGGCACTGATGGGGGTGGCACTGAGGGTGGCACAGATGAGGGTGGCACTGAGGGGAGTGGCACTGATGGGAGTGGCACTGAGGGGAATGGCACAGATGAGGGTGGCACTGAGGGGAGTGGCACTGATGGGGGTGACACTGATGGGGGTGGCACTGAGGGGATGGCACTGAGGGGAATGGCACTGATGGGGATGGCACTGAGGGGAATGGCACAGATGAGGGTGGCACTGAGGGGAATGGCACTGAGGGGAGTGGCACTGATGGGGGTGGCACTGAGGGGAGTGGCACTGATGGGGGGTGGCACTGAGGGGAGTGGCACTGAGGGGAATGACACTGATGGGGATGGCACTGAGGGGATGGCACTGAGGGGAATGGCACAGATGAGGGTGGCACTGGGGAGTGGCACTGATGGGGTGGCACTGAGGGGAGTGGCACTGATGGGGGTGGCACTGAGGGGAAAGGCACTGATGGGGATGGCACTGAGGGGAATGGCACAGATGAGGGTGGCACTGAGGGGAGTGGCACTGATGGGGGTGGCACTGAGGGGAGTGGCACTGAGGGGAGTGGCACTGATGGGGTGGCACTGATGGCACTGATGGCACTGATGCCACTGAGGGGGTGGCACTGAGGGGAGTGGCACTGAGGGGACTGATGGGGTGGCACTGAGGGAGTGGCACTGATGGGGGTGGCACTGAGGGAGTGGCACTGATGGGGGTGGCACTTGAGGGGAGTGGCACTGATGGGGGTGGCACTGAGGGGAGTGGCACTGATGGGGGTGGCACTGATGGGTGGCACTGCACTGATGGGGTGGCACTGATGGTGGCACTGAGGGGAGTGGCACTGAGGGGAGTGGCACTGAGGGAGTGGCACTGATTGGGGGTGGCACTGATGGGTGGCACTGATGGGGGTGGCACTGCACTGATGGGGTGGCACTGAGGGGAGTGGCACTGATGGGGTGGCACTGAGGGGAACTGATGGGGTGGCACTGAGGGAGTGGCACTGAGGGAGTGGCACTGAGGGTGGATGGGGTGGCACTGAGCTGGGGGTGGCACTGAGGGGAATGTGGGGGTGGCACTGATGGGGGTGGCACTGATGGGGTGGCACTGATGGGGTGGCACTGATGGGGAGTGGCACTGAGGGGAATGCACTGAGGGGTGGCACTGGGGGGAATGGCACTGAGGGAGTGGCACTGATGGGGGTGGCACTGATGGGGGTGGCACTGAGGGGAGTGGCACTGATGGGGGTGGCACTGATGGGGGTGGCACTGAGGGACACAAATTGGTCTCGTGGATCCCGGACCTGAGCTCCCGGGCCTCAAGGAGCTTCGCGCGCGGGACGGGAGAAGGGGATATGGAGGAAGGTGGGAAGAGGGGAGGGAGGAGAGAAGGGGGAAGAGGAGAGGGATATAGAAGGAGGAAGAGGGAGGGAGGGAGAGAAGGAGGAAGATGGAGGGAGGATAGAAGGAGGAAGAGGGAGGGGGGAGGGAGGGAGGCGAGAAGGAGGAAGAAGAAGAAGGAGAAATGGAAGGAAGAGGGAGGAGAGGAGGGATGGGAAGAGGGAAGGTGTAAGTAGGAGAGGGGAAGAGGGAAGGAGAAAAGAGGGAGGGAGGAGAGAAGAAAGAAGAGGGAAGAGGAGAGAAGAAGGAAGAGGGAAAGAGGAGAGAAGAAGGAAGAGGAAAGAGGAGAGAGAAGGAAGAAGGAGGAGGGGGCAAGAGAAAGAGAAGGGGTGGAGAAGAGAAAAAAATAAGGGAAGGAAGGGGTAAAGAGGGGGAAGCAGAGGAGAAAGAAAGACAGAAGGGAAAAGTAGAAAGAAGGAAGGAAAAGGGGGAAAGAGAAACGGATGAAGAAGAGAGTGGAAAGGGAGAATGAAGAGGAGAAAAAAGAAGAAGAAAGAGAAAGAGAAGAGAGAGAATGAAGACGAATGACTAATAAGTAGAGGAGGGTGCAAAGAAGAAGGGAAGAACAAAAGAAGACACGGATTAAGGACACCTGACGCAGAGGAAGAACGAAAAACGAAAGAGAAACGACCAAAGAGGGAAGAAGGAAAGACGTACAAAGAAAGGAGAGAGAGAGAGAGAGAGAGAGAGAAAGGACGAAGACCAAGGAAACTAAACACAGGAATAGCAAGAACAGAGGAAGACGTAGACGGAAAACAGAGTCAGAGGTATATCCAACATATCCACGCAGGAGAGACGAGACATCCGACAGAATGGAGGAAGAGGCGGACAGGTCCAATAAAGGATGGGCGAAGGATGGACGCAAGAGGAGAGGATGTCCAGGAGGGTGAGAGGAATAAGTGAGAACGGGATAAATAAATGGAGAAATAAAACTGTGGAATATATTAATATATTTGAGAGTGTGATAACCTGAGAGCAACGATGCTGCTGTTATAAATAGTGATAAGTAAGAATAAGTGATAAATGATAAGTGAGAAAATTATGATAATGATAAGTGAGAAATGATTAAATGATACGTGAGAAATTATGATAAATGATAAGTGAGAAAATTATGATAAATGATAAGTGAAAACATTATGATAAATGATAAGTGAGAAAGGGGCGAAAAACAACAATTTAAAATGGAATTCTAAAATATATTTGAGAGAATGATAATCTTAAACTGACGCTACTGATGTCTACTTCAAGTAATTCCACTCACTATAAAATATTTGATTTTTTTCTCTCTCTTTCCAATACGTTCGTCTCCAGAAGCTTAAACTAATGAAGATTATTCATGGGATCTTAATTTTTACTCTAATTCACTAACTTCTTTCTCTCTTTCTTTGTCTCTGTCTCTCTTTCTTTCTCTGTCTCTGTCTCTGTCTGTCTCTCTCTCTCTATCTATCTATCTATCTATATCTATCTCTCAATCTCTCTCCCTCCCTCCCTCCCTCCCTCTCTCTCTCTCTCTCTCTCTCTCTCTCTCTCTCTCTCTCTTCTCTCTCTCTCTCTC